ATAACGAGTAAAATACAAACATTGTTTTAATCTCATTCTCGTCTTTTTATATGCTTTTTCTATTCCGATGGCCAAGTGCAAAGAACAGACCTTTAACAATTTTTCAGCCCTTAGAGCGAGGTACCCGGTTGCAGGATAAAGAGGTGTCGATTTCTACATGTAATTTCAATTTTCACACCTCACAAATATATCTTTGATACATCCAAGGATATGTAAAACACTATTACAAGTACAGGAAAGTGACCATATATGCACATTCATATTGTAGTCTTGGTTTTGTTGAGTAGATTACAGAGTAAATATTTTACTACATTCATGGAGCTAAGCATTATCCAGATATAAAGGTATAGTCTGCAGCATATTGTAGTGGCTTTGGTGCTTGAAAGCTGTTAACGCATCCACTCTCTCCATGGTGTTCACACAAGGGTAGTGCTTGGCATGAAGAGTTATAGTTGTTTTATAAAGAGTGTGTATAAACAGTTTAGGGTTAAAGTGTGTTTACGTTTAGTAATGGTGTATAAAGAATGTTAGTTTTTAATAAAAGTTAAATTTAGGATTAAAGGGACACTATAGTCACCTGAACAACTTTAGCTTAATGAAGCAGTTTTGGTGTATAGAACATGCCCCTGCAGCCTCACTGCTCAATCCTCTGCCATTTAGGAGTTAAATCCCTTTGTTTATGAACCCTAGTCACACCTCCCTGCATGACTTGCACAGCCTTCCATAAACACTTCCTGTACAGAGAGCCCTATTTAGGCTTTCTTTATTGCAAGTTCTGTTTAATTAAGATTTTCTTATCCCCTGCTATGTTAATAGCTTGCAAGACCCTGCAAGAGCCTCCTGTATGTGATTAAAGTTCAATTTAGAGATTGAGATACAATTATTAAGGTAAATTACATCTGTTTGAAAGTGAAACCAGTTTTTTTTTTCATTTTTTTCATGCAGGCTCTGTCAATCATAGCCAGGGGAGATGTGGCTAGGGTTGCATAAACAGAAACAAAGTGATTTAACTCCTAAATGACAGTGAATTGAGCAGTGCAATTGCAGGGTAATGATCTATACACTAAAACTGCTTTATTTAGCTAAAGTAATTTAGGTGACTATAATGTTCCTTTAAGGTAAAGAAAGGTGCACTGCCCTCGTTTGTTATTTTTAATTTTTTTTCATCTATTGGAATGACATAACAATAATAACTGTTTAAAAAAACAAGAAAATAAAACATTCTGTGTCTTCACTTGTTTAATTCTGCAGGTTGTTCTCCCCACCCTTATTAAAGGACCACTCTAGGCACCCAGACCACTTCAGCTTAATGAAGTTGTCTGGGTGCCAGGTCCAGCTAGGATTAACCCTTTTTTTTATAAACATAGCAGTTTCAGA